CATAAATGGTTAAATATTTCAAAACTCTCTGAAATGTTTAAGGAGTTGAGCTTCCATCGTTCAGATGCACACACTTCCAATGGTGCGATGTGTGATGGTGGCACAGACTGTGCCGCTTGGCATGTGTCGTTGTGGCAGCAAACTGAGCACTTACGGCACACACAAATTCGATTTATTTGAGCCGTGGGTGGCCTGATATTGGCAATAATTGTTGGTGTTAAAGTGAAAGGATTACATCGACAAAGTGGCAATGTCATCAGCTCATCAGCCGAAAGCTTTGTTATTCTAATCAAAGTTCATTGCTTGAGTTTCTCCGGCTCAATGCCTGCCACCTCAACATATTCGTAGCCATTGAGTCTTGCACAAGTCTTTGACATTGGAGTAATGCTTTGCAATAATGTGTGGTCTTTAAAAAATTGCTAAATAATTTCAGCTTACTATATGTTTCAAGAGTGCAACAAAAAATAAAAAATAAATTTGTTTGACTACATTTTCTATAGACCTATAGACCAATAGGCCAATTGTCAAAGAGGCACAACCACCTTGTTAAAAACTGCTATTAAAGAAGCGAATTAGGCAGTGAAGGATAAATCAATCATTTTTACTTTTTAAAAATTTTTTTGATGACTTTAAGTCCTTCTAAGTTTTGTTTTAGATTGCAAATATGAATTTTTTTACATCAAACTGGTTCAAATAATGAATAATCAAACAATATACATTCTATTACCAACCAGTAAACTGCATGAGAATTATATTATATTCATAATGTATAATGAATAATCGATATTTTTGGTATATTTTTCGTAATTAATTTTAATAAAGCATAGATTGGTTAACATTATTTATAATATTTTTCAATTCTTCGCTTAGCTACATTATGCGATCGGTTTAGACCTTCTGTAGTTTGTCCAAGTGATTTCCAGGGCTCTTCGATTGGCCAATTTTTTGTCATTAAAAGTTTAACAGAGACCGAAATAAGTTATTGTCAGACGGTGTAAAGTCCGGGGTGAAAGGTGGATGTATGAAAACTTCTGAAACAAGTTCTATTAATTTGGTACGAGTGATTAGTGCTGTGTGTCGGCTGGCAGTATAATGATGGAACACAACTCCTTTTTTGTTGAGCAATTCGGGTCGCCTTTTTTATTGTTTCCTTCAAGCGATCGAGCTGTGAGTAAATTTAGAAATGGACCATTCCTTTCCAATTTCATCAAACATTCAACATAACTTTTTTGGTCGTCCATCCAGGCTTTAAAGTCGTTTGTAGAGGGTAACCCGCCTTTGACCATAATCATTCGCATTGGATATTATCGTATTTAATCTATTTTTTATCATCCGTAATGATTCACTTTAAAAAAGTTTCGATTTCTTTGCGTTTCAGCAGATATTCAATGATGATAATTCGGTTAATCAAATTTCTTAGCCTTAATCAATGCGTTCCCAAACATTCAACGTCTTTGCGTAGCCTTTAATCATTCAAAACGGTCATATGGTTTATTACGACCGCTTTCTCCTGACCGCATGCATATCTGTCTGTCTTGCTCAACTCGCTACAGATTTATATACACTTTAGTCACAAAAAACGATGGATACTTTTTACATTACCCCATACATGTTACACACTCACAAGGCTTCACATAATCGCTGATTTGTTAGTCATCCATTTTTGAAGTGTGAGAGAAAAGTAAAAGTACCATTTTGCGAGATAGATGTTTTTCTTTTACAAAATCTACTATTCTTTATACAATCCAAACTGTTGTCTTGAAATAGTCTATACGAGCAAGAGACAAGCAATCGTGCTCTAGAGTGACTTCAAGAGAGGAATATTAAATAAGAATTAAAAGTCCTGAGCTCTCTTCAGGAATATAACATTATATTTTTGTTAAAAACACATTTCACTTGAATTATAAATTTTAAATCTTTTCTTTTATTTTATTTTTAGTTTATACACACACACCAACACACATATAGCATCTATACAATGGGTCCTGAACCTATACGACTCAGTAATCTTGATAACACAAATGTCGAGACGGGAACGTCATCGAATAATGAACAGACAACGTCACACAGCAACGCAGTGGAAACATACGAGCCACGGGAGCGGATGATCATTACGAAAAATGTGGTTATCATTGGCATTGCGTTTATGATTCACTTTACGGCATTTCATGGCACCTCCAATTTGCAGAGTTCAGTCAATGCAGATAAAGCACTTGGCACAACGACATTAGCAGTTATTTATGGTTCCTTGATATTGTCGAATATATTTCTGCCAATGACCGTGATAAGGTAGGTCAGAGAAATGCTTTATTGTTCAGTAGAAAAGCTAGATGGGACGATATTTGTATTTTATAATGATTCTTTCAATGTGAAAAAGTTCTTATTATGTGAAAATCACAAACATACTACTTACACGAAAAGTGTTTCTATTAGGTTCCAAAGAAATCTTCACTAAGTTGTGGAAAGCAGTACCTATGAAGAAAATTTTGAAGATTGTTGGATTAACTTAAATTCATGTTTGATGGATACCAAAAAAAATATACTATATGGATACCTCAAATACTACCAACCCTTTCTTAGCTATCCTTTCTTAGTATTTTCTTTTAACTCATTTAGTAACGATGATGATATGTGACCAAATAGAAATGTATTATTAACGACTTATTTTATTAGAAACTGTGACATTTAGACAATGCAAGACAATATGTATTCTTTTTAATAGAAGTCATCCATTTGATAGAAGTTATACAATCCATTTGATGGTTGATGGTTTCTTCACTTGAGCCTATTGGCCCATTGTGTTACCGTATAAGAACTCAGAAGCTTCTGGATTCTTATAAAAGTGAGTCCATAGCATAGTTGAACGATAGGTTAAAGATATTGTTGGATCAATTTTAAACCAACTTGAATTAAAATTTCTTCTCAACATATGCACAGAATATATTGTGACTCTTTACTCAGATGAGTCTTATAACTGAATGTATGTATTTATATAGCGTTTGTTTGCCAGAAGCTGGACATTCACAAAGAATGTGCTCTGCGGTTTTTTACATGAGTATCGGAGAGCCATAACTTGTTTAAGTTATACCATAGGCTACTGTGACCTGTAAAGTTACCAGATAGAGTCTTCATGTCTATTGTGCATAGCGAAAGTATTTTTATTGATATTTTCTTAGCTTGGAAAAGAAATAGTTCTGCAATTTGTTATTTAAAGTTACTTTGATTAAGTATTGAAAACATATCAAACTATTAAGCAGTATAAAGCAAAGCTTCATTAAATGATAACTCTCATAAATGGACAACTATCTTACCGTGTTAAGTTGTTTTTATGCTATTTTCCAATTTTTATATTTCACACAAAGTCTCTTCTTTTATATGGACAGTTCTTTATCAGAACAGTATTGCTCTTCCCTTGTTCCCTTTTCTGACTAACACCGCTGTTACTGTGTTTTACTTCGCAACTTCTTGTCCCCAAGCACTGCGTGGTTTTCTTTAAAAAACACTGCAGA